ATCGCTTTGACCTGTTCTGTCCCAGGAAAATGCAAAAAGGCATAGAAAACAATATATTATTTTACAGCACATGCGTTAAATTGAGTCCTTGGTTGCGTTGGACATAACGAAAGCTCTGAATTGGGTTTTAACTGTTATTTTAGCACTTAAGAAACTCTTCACGTAGGTAAATAATAACCGCCTTTCTTCGCCCGTACGGAACCATGCACTGTAAACAGCAACATTTATACCACAAGCATGATAATCTGAGTTAATTGTCGGGGCCTGATGATCCTTCCGGGTTCCCCGAATTAGGCCCAGAATCTATATGAACCACGTCACTTTGTTGTATTTAAGAATTATTTTATCGTTCTGTAAAGTAATCACATTTTAAAGGGTGATTGTTTTTTCTTTATTTCCTGTTTTAGACATCAGTGAATGCGGGAATGGCTTCAACGATTGCCATGCAAACGCGACTTGCCACAATGTACCGGGGAGCTACTACTGTCAATGTAAGGAGGGATTTGTTGGAAACGGAAAACACTGTGAAGGTACAAATTTCATCATACCTCATACAACATCAGCACTCTAGGAAAAGCACAAGGTGCAATACTGCATAGTTAAGTGAAATGTAAGAATGCAAGGAGGATCTGACTGATACAATTTCTTGGTTACTTCTTGGTTTTCCCATTTATTGACATAAATAAGTGCTGGGTCATTCAGAGGTAAGACTCAGCAAAGCGGCATACATTTTGAACATATATTGCAGGGATAAGAGTTAAATTTAACAATTAGGTAACGAGCTCGAGATTTCTAGAGCGACTAATCTAACTGTTTTAGTATAAATCTACTAGTCGTTCAAAACTTTATCTCAGTCCTCTTCGCAAACACTTCGAAAACTCAAAGAAGCGGCCGCCAATTTGTTAACACATTACTGGGCTCCGCACTATCTACAACAGAAGAGATAGTGAGTGGCGTAGCCAATCAGAAAAAGGAATTCGTGATAGAACGCTATAGTAGATTTACAGTAAGTTGAAATATTTTGTCATAGTGTTTAAAATTTTGTTTTCGTAATGCAATCTCTGTCTTTGTTTCTAATCTTACTAAACAATCAGGACAGCAGATTGAAGACGACTGGGACAGAGTGTAAACGACGACCTGAAACAGTCAGCTCTGTCTTCTTTTTTTTTAACTGAAGATCGTAAAGTAAGCAAACAATAGTTAATGAAAATAAATCTCACACCATCACCACGATTATTCTGCAGGGGCAAAAGAAACTAGTACACAAAAAGCTGTTGAAATTGCTGAGGGGCCAAGCGATGTTGCTGCTCAAGTGATAGATCAGTGTTTCACCGGGTCACATGACTGCTCTTCAAATGCCACATGTGTGCCTCTGAAGGGGTCGTATGACTGTATCTGCAACCTTGGATTTGAAGGAGACGGCCGAGTTTGTGTTGGTATGCTATTTCGTTTCTTGATATTTTGTTTAAGACTGTTAATCGATCATTGGTTAAATTTTTGCCACGCGATAATTAATCTTCTTAGCAGAGACAGGAGTGTGGTATTCTCCCTTATTATATGGGTAGCTGCGTGAGCGGGCAAGATGCCGCTATCTTGCCCGCTAGGGATTTCCCGCTGTGTCCCGCAAGAACTGAAATTTGGTAAATCCTTTATTAACCAAGATTGTTCGGTCAAAATGGCTAGATATTGGCCTTGTTCTTTTTCTGCTTGTTTATGGACCTCACGCTTGATCAATAATCCATATTTCTTGACCAAG